GCCGGTGCAGAAAGGYGCCCGGGCGAGCAGGTGTACTCCCATTTCTGAGGCTGCACCACGACCTTGCAGCACATGCCATTTTTCCCTGTGACAAASACGGAAAAGGCCCCAGGAGGACAGCAACTCAGCGCCAGCAGCTGCCTGTGACTGCAGTGACGTTTCTCCAGACGGGTTAGCCATGMTACTTGGGGAACTCAACCTTGCAGGTGCAGGCGACAGGCATTGGTAAAGAAGGGAGATTTTTTAAAATCTGTTTGCAATGCTCAAGCATCTCATCTCTATTGCAAACCTACGTTTTATGGCAATAGCTAAGGTCATGTTTGCAGTTTTTGGAAACGATTAACTCATGAGCCAAACCCACAATTTTCAGAACTAAAACAGCAAGGGAGAGGGATAAGAGAGAGAGTGGGAAAAAAGAAAGGTGAAGTAGGTCACCCCTGCTCTCCAGGAAGATTCTCCTCACACAAGGATGAATTTATTAGAAAACCATACACTCTTTTACAAGATCTCCTTTCATTTCTTTCCTCTAAAATAACCAGCTTGGTCACTCTTATCATACCCAGCTATTCATCGTAAGGGAACTGTTCAGACAGGTGAAGTTTAATAGAGGATTTCTTGCTAATTTAGCATAATAAGAAAAATATGCTCTATGTGTGAATCCAAGTGCAGAGAGATGAAGAAAAGTGTATCAAAGTCTATCAGAAAAGGCTCAGCCCCATGYGTGCCCTGTCGGTGAATGCGATGAGACCCTTTGGTGCACGATGTGTATTCCTGGTGGGGACTACACTCCGCTTCACTTTATGTATTTTTTTACACTGAAGTTCAAACCTGGCCTTGCTCTAAGTTTCAAATTTGGTGGCACAAAATAAGAAAAATGGCAAGGACTCCTTCCTGGGGGATAACTAGCCCCACACGTTGCTCCATAAGCAGCATGGGTAGAGCGAGGCTCTGTCTTTATTCTCCACCACCCCTCTCCATTTCATTCTCCACCATCCCTCTTTCAAACTGCTTTTAATTCTTCTTTCAACCCAGCTAGGGGTAAGATTTTTCTACAGAAATTCAGGTTTCCAGGCCCACTCAGAGACCAAATGGACAGCTGACCTCCCCTCATCCCCAGGAGCTGGTCAACATCCCTCACACAAATCAAGGACCTCCTCACGGATCTGCTCAAAGGACTAAGCAGTGACTCCCCCCTTTATCCTCTGTGTTCAACATACACATTTCAGCTCTTAAAACAGCACAGCTTTTAAAACTTGTATGCACCCTGATATTTGCAGGAGCGAATATACTCATGTCAGGTCTATTTGGGGGTTTTAAGTCGGGGAGAAGGGTTATCTCTTTTTTTTTCCTTTTTTCTCTCTTTCCTTTTTTTCCCCCCAGCTAGCCAAATCATCACTGGCTACATTATTTWTTAATATATTTAGTTATTTGTTGTCATGAACTCTGCCCAAATCTATACATAAGTCTACATATAGATATACACATAAGGAAAGCACTAGATTTCAGGTAAAAATTGTTAAGAGCAGGTGCTCTCTTCTCTCCTCTCTTCAGTGTGCCCATATTTAAAAATAAAATAAAGTAAAATAAAGTAAAATAAAGTAAAATAAAATAAAATAAAATAAAATAAAATAAAATAAAATAAAATAAAATAATAAAGAGTGAGATCAACTTATGGAAATATTTATCCAAACCAAGTCGGTGGCATGAGGTGACGTCCCGATGAGACTGGAGGAAGAGCTATTGGCGTTAAACAGCCAGCCTGCCGTGAAAGCAGAGGAGAGGAGACAAATAGCGAGGCCCCGGGCAGGGTACCACCACCAACACGCTGCCTCTGCTCCTCAGTACTCACTGCACATGCAATGCCAGGCTGCTAATTTTACGGACGTTTCTCTGAACCTTGCATGGTGCAACGCTGTGGTGACGGGAACAGCGCTGGCAGCCCAGAAACAGCCTCATGTTCCGAGCCCTGTTGGCACAGAAGGTGTGTGTCTGTTTGCCTTAATTCTCCAGGTCAGCTCTGTGAGGAACAGTACTCGAAGTTCAGGTGCCAAAACCTAAATAAGGGTATTACTGCAATAAGTAATTCTAATATTCAATTTGAAAGCAAAGCWGTATAGGAATAACTAAAAGATTGCCATTAAGAATAAAACTTGCCTATTTCTGATCCATTCGAGTGTCCAGTTATTCAAGGTGCCTTCTGTTACGCATGTTAAACACACCGTGTTAAGACCCCAAAATGATAAAGGGTTCAGCAGGATGTGCTCCATGGCAAGCCCTCTCTTAATGAAAAAGCCTGAAATGGATGAAGATTATTTGCAGTGAACAACTTCCCAAGGAAACAATTTGGGAACAACTTCCCAAGGTGCGCTGGCTCTGCGCTCTGTGCCCCACACCGTGCTCCCTAAGGGCAACGTCAGCTCCCTTAGGGAGCACCTTTCCCATGCTCCCGAAGCGGATCCGCCTGGCCAAGGCTCCGTTGTTTCCTCCACGGTCACTCCTGGCAGGACCTGCGGGATCGGGGCCTCTGTGTCTGGGATTCCACCTCTGCTGCCCTCGTGCTCTGCTCAAGCCACCCGGCGGCCCCGTCCCCACGGCACGAGGCATCGAGCAGTCGAGCTACCGGCGTGGCAGCTAACGGAGGGGCAGGAACAAGGGAAACCTAATGGCACAGGCCAGGGAACAAGGGAAACCTAATGGCATGGGCCAGGGAACAAGAGAAACCTAATGGCATGGGCCGGGGAAAAGATCCTTTCATTTTAAATTGCAGTTTTCCACCTTCGCCATCCCCACTAGCTCCTCACTCTTCACCTTCCGCTGTAACCTCAGGCTTTGATTCCTCCTCTCGTCAGTTCCTTGTTTTCCACTTCCTAGCATTTCCTTCCCTTAATAAGCAGCCCACGCCTTCCTTTGCTTTCCAACAAAGTGCTATTCCTCTAAAATCTCGCCACAACGTGCTCCGACCTAATGAGGGACCGACACATCAAATGCAAGTGCAGCCATTCCCCCTGGATCAGACTTGCCAAAATGCTGGACAGTTGCTCCTGAGACAGAAAGGGAAAAACTGCCCCCTTAAAATGCTCCACCTTCTAAGTATGGTTCTACTTATAAACACCACAAGTGTTATGGTATGGAAAAGACAGACAACACGCACAAAGAGGGAGTCCAATTCTGAAAATACAAACCTACGGAATAAGACAAATCCTGCCATTTCTGTGCCCACATTTCTGCAGCACTGCTACTCCCTTTTCTCCTTCCCACAAGCAAGCAGGGATTTATTCAATCCATACTAAGAGCAAATATAGAAATGGAAAAATACATCCATTTGAGTCACCGTTACCACTCTTTCACATCACAGCCATGGGATGTCTCTCTCATGTGTAGCTCTCATTCAAGGAATGCATGATCAGATCACATTAGGTGCCTGCTTATATAATATATAATAATATATATAACATATATCTCAAGCTATTATGTGCCCACAAAACCAAGGTTTATTTTGGCAAGCAAGGGAAGAGTGCCTTAACTATAAATACAGCAGCTTTTCAGAAGATATTCAAACCACATGCAATACCTTGACCAGAATGGCAAAATGTTCCTGCGCCAAACTATTATTACGTGAATTACAGTCACTCCTGTTAAATCTCTTGTTAGTTGTTCACCATCCCAGCACTGGGCTCATGACAGCAGTTTGCATTTACCGGTCTGGGCCAAAACAAGCAGTTGAGGGGGAATTTAGAAGACACACATACACACACACAGAGGCAGGAAGCATACAGAGTAAAAGGGATTGAATGGAATTAAACCTGCTCCCACACAACTTCTCAAGACTCTGGAATATCCCTGGACTTCAACAGATTTGTCATCACATTCATACCAGAAAGCACTGACAGTTCTCCCTTTGTTTTTAAATTCTAACGATAAAAATTGGATGCAGTTGACATGTTTTGTAAGCAGTACTCTAGAAGTTCTACCAGGAATACATGTCTTCTTGCCTAGCTGGCTGAAGAAGCTACCCTGCAACTTGAAAACTCACATCATTAAGCAGTCTCGTGAGACGCCAAGCAAAAAGCTACCTGYCTTTTCCACCTCGGGGCGGCCTTTCCAGAGACCCTACTGCAAGGTTCAGTCCAGCTTGGCTCGCCACATCAACTCTTACCAAATGACACCCAGCTCTGCACAAGGCACCTGCTTGGATGGCACRAGAAGCACGGGGCAGCATCAAGGCACCCGCTGACTGCTGCCACAGCGGCTGTCACTGTGGGGATGGGTTTCTAGAGCCTSCCCTGAATCCCCCAAAACGATCCGTGATGCAACGGGAGCAGCGCCGCACGCTCCAGGTGATGGAGGCTCCTCCTCGCCCCCGATGGGCACTGCCTGCAAGGTGACAAGCTCTGCGGCTCTAAGGACCCAAGAGCYGCCCCGAGCAGTGAGGCTCAACGAGCAGCACAGAGCACTGCGCTGCCTTCAGCCTCTCCCTGGGGTAGTGGCTGCACGCTGGGGCACGTTCCTTACGACCCCGCTCATCTGGGTAGCTGGCTGAAGAGACCAGAAAGGACAACGGGTGCCACYAGGAAATGCAGCCTCACTAAGGACGTCGCTGCACCCGGGCAGTCACCAGCCCTCGAGCACGGGGGGCTACGCGCYGGCTAGAGCAGCCTTTCTGAGCTGGCCCCAGGGAAGCTCAGACACCCTTCCTCACACAATCCGACCACCTTATTCSAGCATGAGGATAGATTTAAGCTACTGTTATTTCTTTTATCTCCATCTGCTTATCATCTCTGAATAAAACATTCCTTAATGACAATTTAAACCTTGTTTCTGAAGTCCCCTTGAAGTTTCTGAAGTCCCCAGGAGGGGGCAAGGAAGCAAATTTCCTTTTCAGTTCTACCAGTGAAAATGCAAAATAAATAATGCCTCTATTCCGCACTTACACTAGCATAATAAAAATCAGGATTTGTCACGTTGGAGCAGTGTAATAAGACACGTCAAGAGCAACTTACCTATCACAACATCAGATGTCCATGAGCCACAATTCYGTCTCAATCGGAAGATAACTTGACCTGTTGGATAGAAAGCAAGACATTTTCACCTATGACAACATCTTGGTCCCCTTTGTATCAGGCAAGAAAGTCTGAATCCTTGCTGGGGAGGAAGTGGGGCAGAAAACTGCTAAGAGAACTTAGCATCCCAAAGCTGTTTTTTGCTTTCCATTATAATTGCAATAGTTACAGGTAATTTAGACTTCCCAATCAGAAATCTGTCTTCCCTTCTCTTTATACTCTTGTTTAATATCATTGGGGTCTCAGCTTTTGGTTCAAAGAAGTATCTTAGGAAGATTTTTAAAAGGCACTCAGAAGATTACTGAGCTTAGAAAATTTGTACACAAATTCTGGGGGGGGGGAAAAAAAAAGGCAGAAAGAAACAAACAAAACCAAAAAACCCTGCAAGCGACCAGAGAGGAACATACTGCAAAATTACAATTGATTCTGACTTGAAGCTTCAAGTTTACTGCAACTATAATAGTTTGCCCAGCCTCCATGCAAGAAGGGCTGACCCTCACAGGAGTACTAAGGGCAGCAGCCGCCTACAACACAGCAAGTCAGTGTCTCCCTTCTTCCCTTCCCTTCCAGTTTTCATCTTTGTTCCCTTCCACAAGTTGCACATCTCTCCCAGACTAAAATCAGGAGCGGGGAACAGAAAGAAACCGAGCAGACTGCCAGGGAGACGAGAGGAAAGTTTTCTGCCAGCTGTGCCATTACATTAATTGCATCTTTATAAAGTCAGCCCTCTGAATGTCCCAGCTAACAAGTACTTCTTATACTCACACCATGCAACTTGGATTTGAAGCAGTTTCGCTCAATCCCTATCAACACTGGCCTTTCCATTTTCCCCTATTCAGAGAGGRAAGCTCCAATATCCCGCAATGGGGTTGATAGGCATTTCCACCAGGAGCAGGGGTAGGGCTTCCATTAACTCCATAGGAAGTTACAGTGGACAGAGAGGGACAAAACACACCCTGCAGCCGCCCTTTCTCTGCTTGTGCGGGGTCACAAACCTCAATATTTTAGAATATACAAGAGGGAACGAAGCAGCCGTTTGGAGGCACTGGAGGTTTTAATGTTTTGGCCTGCCGTTGGTTTCTGACGCCCAGCCAAGTGCAGGGATGAAGGTTAAATCCAGGCTGCAGGAGCTGCCACAGGGGCCTCCCTGGCATCCCAAGGCCCCTGTGGTGCCTCCGGGCCCGCCCGGCGTTTCCCGCCTGGGCTGGGGCGGCTCCGCAGGCCAGCACCCTCGCACCCAGATCCAGGTGGAGCTGGGAGCCCTTCTTAGGCTTTAATAACCGCAGTATCTCTGGGAATATTAACTGCCTTGTTTTCCCTCTCTAGCGCTTTTATCTGTATTTGCATTTATGATTAGGCTAAGGAGCAACCACAGCACATGGGCAATATCTAGAAAACCCACACAGCTTAATRCACACCATTTTTCTCCCTTCCACTTAAAAGCTTGTGTTTTCTTCATAGGCAGAGCTCAGTTATYATTTCCTTTCTCGAGCAGGAGGGAGCTCCTCACTCCATGTTCCTGGACTGGTTCCTCCTGCCTTGCAGCACCCTGTTACACAGTATTAACGAGGGGAAAGTTGCTTGGATGCCTCCTATTAGATGTGACCAGCTCATCCACAGCTGCTGACAGTAGGAAGTCAGGAAGTAGTTTATCTTTGGGCCAGACTTTAAGAGAAAGGCATGCTGATACGAATGCRTTTAGAAAAGCAGGCAAGGCACATGAACCTGAATCCGATTCTTAAAAGAATTGTGCCTCCAGAAAAAGTAGTTTGCTCAGTGAGTAATAAGGGTTATTCAGCAGGCAGCGTTATCCTGCTATCCTTCTTGTTCTATGTTTATGCTGTATTTTACAGTTTTGTCCCCCCTCAAATCGTAACTTTAAAGTCCTCAGCCTTGCCTGTAGATTAGCACTGAGTGCCCGAGGCAACGCTTTGGGTACAGTAAAGGGCTCGCGTCCGGACACCTGCCGCCCCCACGGCRCAGGCTCGGGGGCCAAGGCTCCCGGAGCCTCTTCCTTCCCCTGGAGGGGCCACACAGGCACGGGGATCCACGGACACGGGGGGGCTCCCGGGCAGCCGGTGCCCAGCGCAGGAGGCTCCTCACTCCGCCGTGCCCCGCTGCGCAGGGGGAATCCAGCGGCGGCTGCGTCCCGGCGGAGCCGCTAACGCAGCGGCGGGACAGAGGCAGCGCACGGCGCGTGGGAAAGGTGGGTTCCCCACGCGGCTGCAGCCTCAGCTTTCTGTACGCCACGCGGACCAATACATCCTGCTGCGGCGGGCGAGCAGCAGGAAACATCTCTAGCCACGAAATGCCATAAATCCCTGGGTAGGTAAGAACTACCTCCCGTTTATCCAGCTCGCCAGGAAGCTATTGGCAAGTTGTTTGAAAGGAGAGCACTTGACAGAGCAGCAGGAAATGGCAGTGGGAATGATCGTAACTTTGCATTTCCCCCTAACATGGAATTTGGGATGAAAACAAGCAGTTTGTGTCTGAAAACAAACTCAGAGGTAGATCACGTGCACACGGATCAGACTATTCTGCCGYGCTGAGCTGCACTCTAACAAAGCTGAGCTCAAATGCAAGGCCTGCAGGCAGCCTTTCAAGAAGGTTTCTTAGTTACTTACACTGGCATTTCACAGCCATAATTGTCAGTCTGTGGAACTAGGGATACTCAACACACAGAGGGGAAAGATTAAAACAAAGGAAAAACCTCAACATTTACTCAAGCGCCTAAATACTGGTGTAGGTGCCAAGCGCYTGGCAGGCGGCTTTGGTTGGGATCAGGCTGAGCAACATGATGCGTGGCAGCTTTCTGCACCTGAGCAGGTTCCTCCTGCGTCCCTTCCTCTCAGCTCAGGAGCCTGCAGGAAAAATAAACAGATCTTGTTTTACCTCACCTAAGGTAATTAAATAATTTAAAAATAACCCTAAATAGACCCATATCTTCGTTTTCTCCCCAATAAGACCGTGCATTAAGTAGTTTAAAATTTTAAAGCTTACGTCAAAARTGCCAGATTGAAGAAGCCTTTTCTATCACTCTAAAAACTTTTGTCATGTGTAGAGAGTTGCTGCTTGTCAGGTTTCAAAAACCAAGAGCCCAGGCTCTTGGATATGCTGTTTTTCTGCCTTTCAAAACTGACATACAAACAAAGGTACAGAAATAATACCTCAAATAAAGGCAAAGGCCTCAGTATTGTCAAACACCCTCATTTACATCCAYGACTAAATCCATTATAGATCTTGACAGCTTTGGATGTGCGTGYTGTGTTATGTTTTGGTGACTAAACGCCACCACATATTTAGCCTGTAGAGAGCAAAGCTTTTCCTTGGTGTGTAAATCCACGCTTAATGAGCCTTGAAAGAGATGATTGCTAAATAACAGCCGGCTGCATCCAAGCTCAACTGCCTCCAATTAGATTGTTTATGGCTATATAATTGTACACTATAACGTGTGTCCAACGTACGGTGTTTTATTGCTGTGCGGCACGAAGACATGGATGTAAATCACCTTCTCCCTTTGGCAGCCAGGYCCTGGCACTTTGCTTTCCCAGGCAATACCAAACGGCATCTCTGACTGTTGGATACGTCAGCCCAACTTACAAACCTCAGCATAAACACGAGGCTGATGGAGGTGATCAGCCCACCAGGAAGGAATGGGAAGGAGAACCTGGAGATGAAAGCGTGTCTTTGTGGAAAGGATGAGCTCAAAATCAGCCACATTCCCTTAAGAACATTGAGGAGAATTCCCTCAGTGTGTTCAAGAACCGGGCAGGCAGTCTTGGTCGGGACAGTTCTTTGCCTTGCTCCCCTTGGCAGYGCCATGCGGATCCTGCAGCGTTCCCGGCACGGTGCCCGATGCAGGAAGCACCACGTTGGCCAACACGTTGGCGTTGGCCAACACGGCACCGCGCTGCTTGGCGCCCGCACGCGCGCCCCGTCTGCCCTCCGGCCCCTCCGAGCCGCCCCTCTTCTCTTGCCTCTGTCGTTGCAGGCTCGTCTGACCTTCAATCAGCGCTTCAATGCGCTTCCACTTGCCATATATTTGGAATAGCTGCTGCCACATTAATGTTTGACCCAAGCGTCACCTGTAAAGCTCTTGACTGCACAGGGACAACTGCTCTAACGTTGCTTTTCAGATAGATCTTCCTCCAGAYGCTCCCTTTTGCCCAGACCCCTTGCGACAAAGGTACCTTCCTGGTTTCCGGGGACAGTTGGCAAACAGTTGGGCATTTACTGGGGGAGYAGGGAATCAGGTGGAGGGATCCTCACAACTCCCCCAGTCCACCCTCCTGCCCCACTAGCACTGAAGCAGCTCTAACAACCTTCCGCTTGCAGGAGTTCTCACAGCAGAAACCGGCCTTRCGCTTTATGACTCAAATGATTGTCTTTTCTGCTGTCATTTTAACAACCTGGACAATTTCCCAACTTGGAAGGAGTTGTTTTAAAGCTATGATTAATTTTTCAGTGCTACCAATAAAACCACTGCAAACACCTTTTCAGGTCAATTAACTTCCCTATTGCACATCGCTTCCCAAACAGTCCCTCAACCGGCGTAAATGGCTAGAGAAAAAAACAATACCTCTGAACTTCTCCTRAAGTTGGATGTTGTCTTGGAAACAAAGACAAAATGAAAAATTAAAATGTACCTACATTTATAAAGTTATTTTAAAATAACKGTATTGTTTTATTCTATCTGGAGGAAATGTTTCGCTACTATTTCCTGTATTTTATACGCTACCTCATGAAAACTCTTCAACCTGTGACCTTAAAACGGAATTGTGCATTGTGTTGAATGTGAGTAGGCAAGATAAATACTTCCAATACACGGAATTCTAAAGGTGATGCTGCTTAAGAGGTCCGCTTTGCCTCTTCCGCCAAGAGCCGTTTCTGCCGAGGAAGGGAGCACCAAGGGATGCACGAGACAGGGATGGGCCCGCTCGCTTTGCTCCTGCCACATGCAAGGGCACACGGAGGAGCCCCAGAGCAGCT